GCGCCACACTGCAGGCCGGCGCCACACTGCAGGCCGGCGCCACACTGCAGGCCGGCGCCACACTGCAGGCCGGCGCCACACTGCAGGCCGGCGCCAAACTGCAGGCCGGCGCCACACTGCAGGCCGTCGCCACACTGCAGGCCGGCGCCACACTGCAGGCCGGCGCCACACTGCAGGCCGGCGCCACACTGCAGGCCGGCGCCACACTGCAGGCCGGCGCCACACTGCAGGCTGACTCAGCAGATCTCTGCATTATTCATCAGTGACATGGTTTCCATTTTGAGGAGCCGGGCCGTCCTGTAACTGGAACCGGCTGGCCTGCAGTCGTCTCTGATGTGGATCAGTGTCTCCTGGAAACCTCCACAGGTTCAGTAAATCCAGCAGCTGATTGGTTCTCTAATCTGGACTCATTGTTCAGCGGTCTCAGAGCGGATCGCCCTGAGACCGCTGCATCAGAAGCTCTACCGCACAGAACCTGTAGAATGAAGCAGAGTCACACTTATCCTGATGTTTCAGAACCGGCTCAGTGGGAGGGAAGCTTTGAACGTGAAATCCATCCATGAAGATTATCAACATGATGATGAATGCTTTAGATGGTCCAGTCGGTTCCAGATAGACCCCCCCCATTTATCTTCTCTTCTTCTGCTGTTAATAATGGGACCTACTAGCAGGTCAGCTGAGCTCAGAGGTCCTTCAGGCCCGGTCCTGAAACAGAACCGTTCTAAATCAGTCCAGTAGGACCAGAACCGGCCTCCATGCTTTGCTAACGGTGTTCCTGACGGTAACTTTGGAAAATTCAGTTTGATTAAAAGCAGAACTCACAAATACTCAAGGGGGGGGGCAGGCAATAAGGGTAACAGTATAAATCAGAGACGGAAGAAATAAAATCCAACCTCTTAGTAGGATTATGTGGATTTTATTAGCAAACAAAGTTTTATTTAAAAATAATAATGATAAAAAATTGCTCTACTACGAAGAATCCAAAGTTTCATTGAATAATATTTCAGTATAAATGATCAATAACCCAAAAACCTTCACAACCAATTTATAAGTAAACTCAAAATCTCAATTTATATCTGCAACAAACAAAGAAAAACATCCCTGATGACTGAAAGTCCAAAACTGTCCGTTTATTTCTAATAATAATGTCCAAACAGGAGTTCCATGTCCTCCCAACCCAAAGGAAAATCCTGGAAGCGTTTAAGTCCAAAGACCTTTCCAAAACGAAAAATCCAAACGACAAACTCCCCCCAAAAAGATTAGAAAAAAGAGTGGTACCACCGAAAACCCTTAAAAAGAAAAATAAGGTCCAGATCTCACCCCTGGGCGGCGTCTCCTTGCGCCGGGCGGCGTCTCCTTGCGCCGGGCGGCGTCCTCTGGGTGCAAATCTGATCAGATCTGCGGCGTTGGGTCAAACT